GTTCTTAATTAGGTGTAAGTCTGACTTATTCCCTAGAGGATTATCCGTAACGTGCCGGCAAACGGTATTTAGCCAGGTTTTCGAAAAGGTCAATTAACAAATCATGTACGGTTTACAGATCACATGCTCCTCCATGTACCGAAAACAGGTCACGTGCTCCTCCGTGCCTCAAAAGTCAAACGCGTACCAATACCCTGCGGTCTCCAGACCGCAGGGAATCATTGCCGTTGACCTACTTTTCGTAGGCTATTCAGATAGGCGCGGCGTTTAATAAACGCTTTTTCAGACCGTTTATAAATATGAAATAAACTGTTTACAAATGTAGGCCTCCCCAATGGATGAAATAGTAGGGCAAAGACTAAATAAAGATCCAGTACGTTGTAAATAAAGATGTTCACGTTTGTAAACAATTATTTTTCTAAAACAATTTCCAAACATCCAACTTGATTATGTTAAATATGTACCTCAAAAGTTTATATATCATATTATATTATATTATATTATATTATATTATATTATATTTTATTCTATTATATTATAAATAAACGTTTAAATTAATGTATTCATATTTTATCGAAAATAAATTTCTGATTACCTCCCTTTATTAAGTGAAATGTTAAATTCGTTAATATCTTTACAAAAAATGTTTTTTGAAAGTTATGATAAAACTTCATTTGAGCATCAGATTTATGGTATAAAACCATAAAAAAATGCGCTACATGGTATTTAAGGTTAAACTCCGAAGTCGGAGACAAGCAGGGTGATATGTGCACTTTTGGACTCGTCAGATTGCAAGAGAGTTTCAACCATAATTTCTGTACATATCGTGCAGATTACTGTCGTTATCAATTTTTCAGAATTCAATTTCTTGTTGAACGTCAGTTGTAGAGCTAAAAAATCTTCATAATTTGTTGCGGATTAAAACAAAAAATTTAATATTTGTACTAGTAGTAAAAATCAGAAGGAGAAAATAAAATTCTTGCATATCAGACTGGCGTTACCGTTAGTTTTACCAATGCCGGGAATTCTATCTGGCATTTGAATGCCATATGAGTCGCGTGCTATACAATTTCATCATTTTAGAGCATTTTATGCGTGAACCGCGTTAAAATGACGTCATTTAAGAATAAAATTGCAAGCTAAGGATGACGCTTTTTTCCGCCGTTATAATTTTATACGGTAAAGAAAACATTTAAGGGTGTAATGGGAAAACTGTTTTACTGAGGTAGAGAACTTACAATATGTTAGAATATGCAAGTCTTGTTACAGCCCAATGGACGGGTCCCCTCGAGATGGATATTCCGATCAGAGTTGCAACATATGACAGGTATTATTAATCTTCGAATCGGAAAATCCGTATCGAGGCAAACCAGCCCATTGGCTTTAACTAGGCTTGTCGATGTTCACCCAAACATATGGCAGATGTAATTAGTCCAAGAAATGTATTTGTATTTTCTGAGTGTTAGATGTCTAAAAGGTAACCCCCTTAATTTAATAATTTTGACTTGAAAGAGTTGAAAACGGTTCCATTTAGTAATTAACAAAGTCCTTAATTTGATAAAATCTCTTTCCAAAAAACATTCGAAGAAGTTGCTAATTTGTTTAAGGTTTTCGACCGTGCGACCACATACACGCATCGAGGGTATATTTGAAGGAAAGTGACCGTGCGACCACATACACGCATCACAGGATTCCCCTTCTCATACGAAAAAGGGACAAAGTGCTGCCCGCCCCTTTGTTCAAGGTGCAGACTATAAAAATAAGCCATTTCCTTCTATTTGAGAAGGTTGGCAATTTTCATAAATATTGCTTCAATTGGTATTTATACAATCATATTTATGCAAACCAACCGGGTGAACGATTTTCTTCAATTTAAGTTTGATATGAATTTTTGGAGAGATCTTATATAATTTATAAAGAAATTTTGAGTAAATATTTTCAATTCCTTAAAATTTAATGTATACAATAGAATTATTTCATTTTTTTTGCAAAAAGAACGTTTCAAAAACGTTTAATATGCTTTAAAGGTGGGAGATCTATTTCACACTCTGTTTGGGAATATTACCCTGGGGTCATTTGTGTCAAATAACGCATTTTCTTTACGGACTTGGTGTATTCAACTTGGTGTTCTTGTAATAGCTTACTGAAGTTCATGTCATAGGCTGCAAAGAAAGAAAGACATAAAAGGAACTCCAATGAAGTAAAAAAGCCTAATAACATTAAACTTTACTTTCTTAAATAAATCAGCTGGGACGTTTATAACAGAATGATATGCAAAAGGTTAAAAAATTTAGAAATATTCTCAAAAGTAAATTGAAAATCATATTTTGTGCTATTTTTAGTCCGACAGACTGAAAAACGTTGCAATACTTTTCAATCTTAATTAGAATAACTGTTTTGGAAATAATAAATAAGTGGCTGATCTCACATTTTGCACACAAATCTAGACCCACATCAAATGGAACATTTTTCCTTGAAAAATTATTGCATTCCCCTCGTGAAAAACCCTCAGTACAGTCCCTTTAAAGTTGAGCATAATATCAAGAAGTAACTGCAAACTTGCGCATTTATACCGGGTTTTATTGCTTTGGCTTTGTCACGATCATGACTTGGTTCTTTACTATATTACCTAAATGTTTCGTGCTTTATTCGTGCAGGAATCCTGAATTTAAAACAACGTCAACTGGACTAAGAGCGCTATTTTTTTCAGCGACGTCATTCCTATTAATGTTCAAGTTGTAATCCATTTTACGGTCACCTATACATCAACATGTTTTATCATTCCATTTATAACAAAAGACACAACCTCTAAAGGAGTATTTATTTTATAAACGTCGTTTCAAATAGTAGATCCGTGCACGAATAAAGCACGAAACATTTGGATAATTTGGTTAAGGACCATATACTATACCAAATACAATTTATAAAGTCATGACAAAGCCAAATGATAAAATACCTGTATAAATGCACGTTTACAGTGATTACTTGATATAATGCACGGGTGCTTTAACCGGAGCCATGGATTGAACACAGTGACCATGGATTCGAGCCTTTCATGTGACACGCTCTGTTTCTTCGATAGACGCTAAGAAAGCGGACTTGTAAGTGACTAATATGTGTGGGCATACACTGATATGTTTGCATAAAAGGGACACCGCTAAGCTCTTTGGCATGACGGAACTATAAATATTTTTTTCTAAGACTTGTGTACAATTTGATGGAGGTCTGGATCAATAACGGCACCTCATCCCATTTTTGCAGACTAATCATTTTTATTGTGCAAATGACCCAAAAATGAAAATCGTTGCAACGCTTTTCACTTAAATCGGACTATGACTTACACTATCGATTTTCAATTTAATTCTAAGCACATTTCTTTATTATGATTTGCAGATTTTTCATTTTTAAGTGTTTGTTTTACTTGATCTATGTAAGAATGCTAGATTTTATGTTTTAGACCTTTTGACCTCAGTGGAACTCCTTTAACTCATTAATGCATCAATGAAAAGGCATATAATTCAACACTATGGTGGCTGGTTTGGTACGCTTTTGTGCGTCTAGTTGGCGCTGGCGACAACACGACCAACCGCCAAACGGCGCGTTGTCGGACTTTCGTCTTGTCGTCCTGGTGATAGCGACAACACGACCAACCGCCAAACGGCGCGTTGTCGGGACTTTCGTCTTGTCGTCCTGGCGCTAGCGACAACACGACCAACCGCCAAACGGCGTGTTGTCGGACTTTAGTCTTGTCGTCCTGGTGCTAGCGACAACACGACCAACCGCCAAACTGCGCGTTGTCGGACTTTCGTCTTGTCGTTCTGGCGCTAGCGACAACACGCTAGAGACAAGACGACAGTGCGACAACGCGCCGTTTGGCGCTTTGTTCTGTTGTCGCTAGCGCCAACGCGACGCACAAAGGCGTACCAATTCAGCCACCATACAACACATATGTCGTGTATTGAACATTCTTTGTAGACGTGACATTGTTAAATATTAAGGTCACTGTTTCAAATTAAGGTAGCACATTAAATTCCAAATTATGTTCACGTTGTTCTGTTTAATTTATTGGGTGTCACAATCTTGAAAAAGACGCCTTAAAGCGACACCCATGTATCAACTTTCCCTTGATGGTGTTTATTAAAGCTGCATGCCTCCAGATTAGCCGAAATATCTCAAGAGAGTCAAATTTGAGAAAAATGGACACAGATTTTGAGAAAAGCAAAAAGATGAAAGTATTACTTTACATATTGTATGCGATTAATGACTGATTTTGCGGATTTTATCACCATAATACCGCGTGACTAACGCAATAAGGACTATTTTTGCATTTTATTGTTTATTGTATTATCGTCGTCTTCGACATCATAATTATCATCATTATTGTTGTTATAATAATAATGCAATAATAATAATGATAATAATAATAATAATGTTATTATTATTATTATTATTATTATTATTATTATTATTATTATTATTATTATTATTATTAATTATTCTTCTTCTTCTTCTTCTTATTATTATTACTATTATTATTATTATTATTGTTGATTATTATTAATTTTCTTCTTCTTCTTCTTCTTCTTCTTCTTCTTCTTCTTCTTCTTCTTCTTCTTCTTCTTCTTATTATTATTATTATTCTTTAATTATTATTACTTCAGGTATTTGTAAATCATCATCATCGTTGTCGTTGTCAATTACAATGTAGTGGTTGGTCACGTTTTTCGTACTCAATTCAAACGAATCAATCTCATCATTTCAAGAAGAAATAAAATAACTTATTTATAGAAAACGTCAGCATTATTGAGACAATAAATTCTGCGCCGCCTGTAAGAGGGTAGCTTAAGAGTCTATATTCTCATGTAAATATTGAGTCTATATTCTTATGTAAATCAATGATGCTTAATTCAATGACACAAATGTGTGCATGTAAAGTGTATATATGAATCTCATATGATACTGATATATTCATGCCCGTACATTAATTAAAATCTTCTTTACAATAAAGTGTAGTTAAGTTGTAGCATGCAAACTGTTTAATCATGTCAAATTAAATCTTATATTGTATATCTTTTATTAACGGTCGCTCAGTCTCTTATAGGAGTAATAGTGGATGGATTGTAATTTAAGTTTATTTCAAAAATGTTGAGAATAACATATTATCGGACAATTTTAAATTACGTAATAATAATTTCTTTGACGTCACCACTATGTTATTCAAGACTGATAGATAATGTTAATTCAGCTATTGTTTCAAATATTCGCGATGATTTCGTGAACAACACCGGGGGACAAAATGGCGTTATCGGGGCGTTTATCGGGGATTTTACCACAATGCATCGTACTGAAAGTAGTGCCAATCCCGCAGAAGACAAAATAATTACATCATGCGCGTCCCGCAAAAATCTGTCTACATGCAAACAGTCTATTAGAAAAGAAGTAAGTACATCACTTAATTTTAAAATTGATACCCCTTTTTTATTGAAAACGTCTTTTTTTGTACAATTAGTTACCCGATAAACCTATAACATCATTTTCTCTGTTTGGAATTTCTATCAACTAATTATACATCTATATAGATGATATCTAAAGCTAGTAAAGTATAAGTCGTTGCCACACATACATAGTTATCTTGTTGGGTGAACTAACATAATTTTTAAAGAATGATTAAGGCTCGAACCAACAATTGCTTATAAAAAGCTCCTATATACTCCCTTTTTATCGGCAAATTTTCTCGACATTGAACCATTTTGCTCATTAAAAAAGAAGATATTGAAAAGGATAGTTAGAACAAATAATTCATTGCTTGTAATCAGCCCCTATACACTCCCTTTTTCTCGGCGAATTTTCTCGACATTTAATCCTTTTGCTCATTATAAAAGAAGATATTCTAAATGATTGTTAGAACAAATAATCCCTTGCTTGACAAACATAATTCGGTAATTACCCTCTGTTCCCGCTTTCATGGCAAATTTTCTTGGCGTTTGACACTCTTTTTTTGCTCATTTGTAAAGCTCTTAATGATGAATAAGTAACGTTAGATTTATTTTGCTCAGTATCATATAAGGTAAAACAGGAAATACAGCTTTGCTTTTAGTAATGTATAATAATGAGGAGCTCCACTGAGGTGAAGAAAGACTAAAAACATGGAATTTTGAATAATCTATATCAAGTGAAGAACTTAAAATGGAAAAAATCTTCAAAAATCTTATGAAGAAATATGTACACAGAATTAAGTTTGTATTGATTTTTCTAAAATACAGAATATGGGAATGGTCACACGTTATTGGCCTAGAGTACACACATTTCGGAAAAAGGTATTTCTAATTCCGTCATGTAAAAACCTTCAGTGGAGTACCTTTTTATTAGACAGGATTTTACTTTTGAATAGGCAATATGTTTTAGGTCAAGGGGTCATTTGTTTCCTCTGTAAAACTATTTTGAAAATTGTCATAGATATTAGAAATATATTTTGTTTACCAGTGTCTGGATATAAATAGACTGCTTCAAAAATCTCTCGAAGAGTCAACCAATCAGACGCTATCTGACTGGTTCCCCTCATTGCTGTACAATATACACAACAGCGCGTGTTCAGATGACGAATCGTCCCCGGAACCAGAACATCATAGGGAAAAAAGCAGACCATCATCAGCTCAAGGTTCGGAATTTTCATTATCTTATTTCTTCAGAAATTGAATGTTCAAATAATCAGGACTAAATGAACAGTTTTAAAGGTTCTTGGTCTACCGATCATCAGATACGCATTATAAATTGGCCTACTTTTACAGAATTACTGCGCAAACATTACTACCTCGTGAAGCGAAAGAGTTCGTATAGTAGAAACGTGTTATTAACAAATAGACAGGCTTGTTGAAATGTCATATACTTTCTACCAGAACTTAAATGCAGACGAATGAACAAATGATGATAAAAATGTCTAAAACGTTATCTATCTACAAACAATTTTATGCATTAGAACTTAATTATGCTATAAAAGCGGATCCATTCATTATTGTTTTTATTGGAGCAAATGATATACAATGTAACTACATGTACATGTATGTGCCAAATTCACTCTCTTTCATTTTCTGAAAGCAGTACACAATTTATTGAATGTCTATAATAATGATATTGATAGCATTGTTTTAATACATGTGATACGTAGATATTATATTATAAAGTAACAGATTGCCAGCTCATCTGTACTTCAGTACTTTGATTCGTCTTGTGTTTCTGATGGTGTTTTATTTCAGCATGGGGGTATGGTATCGGATTTGTCACGGTGATTTGTTGCGTCTCGAATGTAGGTGGATTTATGGCCCCTTTTATGAAGAAGGACTTTTTTCAAAGGTTGTTGTTGTTTTGCGTGGCTTTGGCGGTCGGCACGTTGGCGGCAACCGGTTTCCTAGTGCTGATACCAGAGGTTTCTATATTATAGTAACACTTTCTGATCTTTGTCTGTTTGTAGAGTTGCAATAGCAACTTTTCGGCTTTTTCCGTCAGTCTTCGGCTATGATAATAGCCGAGGACGTTCACGATTGGTAGAGATGGGGAGGATTTGGGTATTAAATGTACGACAGGTGATGGGATTTGTTTATTGGAAACTGTGAAGAGTTGCTTTGGTTATAAGAAATTATTCATCAGAAATTATCATTGATTTGAGAAATGCAATAAAACCTCCGTATAACATGTCAACAGAATATTCATGTACCTGTAATAAGGACTAAATCTTGTCTATATTGTACATGCTTACACAGAAAAAATGCAACAACCACAAAGTCCAAAATCGCTATGTTATTTTACAAACATGGACATCGTAGACCACGTAGTGGTTTATTATAGCTAATTCGAAACTCAATTTCACGCATGCGCCGTAAGATCATCGTCTGCGCTTTTGGCTATTCAATATATATTTTACAATTTTTACAATAAATGATGAGTGGTTTTGTCTAGACTAAAAGATAGTCAAATACATTAAAGATATTTAACTTCGAAAGGGTCAACGATGAATGCTGTTTTTATTTTACAAATCTCTTTGGTTTCAGAAAGTTAGGATTGTAAAAAGTAAGCTCTTTATTTTCTGAGTGTCATGACTTTTAGATCTGATACCGAAACGTGATATATCAGCAATATATAAACAACACATAGACTTCTATTACATCATCTATTAAAACAATAACACAATTACTAACATATTGTTCGAACATTTTCAGTCAATGGAACTTACCGAAGAAGATTCACCAGTTCCTGACTATCATTTCAAAATGGCGACTGTCATGGGCGGAGTTTATTTCTTCTTCATCTCCGAAAGACTTCTTAAAATCTGGTTTTCTCGCCCAAAGGTATGAAATATTTGAAAGAAATAAAATAAATAAATAAATAAATAAAACAAAGTTTTTCGCACACTTTGCCTTTTTAAAAAAGAAAATCAATATGGAATAATATTGATTTCAACTTTTCGGCCTTTTCCGTCATAATTCGGAGCGGAGAATAAATGACTGGTTTCCGGTTCCATGTGATTATTAATATGATTTCTGCAATGGCGTTATATATATAAATAATAAGAACAAATATTTATTTTTCATTGATATTTTTGTCGACACTTTGAGTGATGGCATAACTGAATCTAAGTTTTTTTCTCGTCTTAGAAATAAATTATATTAACAGTTTTGATATCTTAATCATATTACATTATGCTCACATAATTCCAGTTTCATTAGAACATATTTTTGTCTCTAAATCAACACATTGTATTATTTTGTTTTTTTAACGATTAGAGAAAGAAGTCGAAGGATCCTTTTGAAATCGAAACTGAAATAACGATTGAAATACCAGTGAAAGAAAATGGCAACCATGGACACTCCCATTCTCTGGGAATTGTGGACAAAGAGGAGGAGCTAACTGTTCTTACCGGAAACGAAACCGACACACCTCTAAAGAAAGGTATGATAAGCTCCGTCTACAATAAATCAACTTGTTAAAACTCTATCTAAATTTTTCGTTTTTTTTTAATATTCGGCAAGTATTTATTTTTGAAACTGCCCAGTATCATCTTTGAGGAATATATTTTATGAACATCTGAAGTAAGTTTGTCAGCCAAGAAAATAAAACATGACCAGACAAGGTTGATATGCAATCTGTCCTGGTTCCATACTTTTGAAAATTGCAAAATATTATCTCATGAAGTTTTATTTAAACGTATTCTTGGTGGAAAAATAATCATAATACTTTCATTTATGACCCAAGTTCATTCAAAACTGAGCCTAAATATTTAAACTGTCTAAGTGACTCTTTTTCAATTTCCAATTTGAAATACACATTATCAAACGCAAGACTTGCATAGCTTTTAAGAATCGGGGATTGAATAAACAATAAAATTGTGATTGTTCCCAAGAATAGTAAGCAAAGTCATTTTCATACAAAATATAAATTCTTTTTTATTGCAACGTATGTATGATAACAATTAAGAAAATTTCAGAGAAACGGAAACGGAAACTGACGACGTTGGCGTTGATTATCCTCATTGGGGACGCTTTACATAATTTCGTGGATGGTATAGCCATTGGGGCAGCGTTTACGGAGAACACTTATCTAGGAATCAGTGTGTCACTTTCTGTAATATGCGAAGAACTTCCGCACGAATTAGGTAATTTTGAAACTTTCTACGCACAGCGATACGTTCAGAGTTGCGTACAGTGCTATGTATGCGTACAGTGCTACGTACACCTTAACGTATAGTGTAATGTACAATGCTATGTGCTGTAGTACTGCACAACGTAACGATCAAAGTTGCGTCCAGGGTTACCTACACATTATGTACAGTGTTATGTACAGTGTTATATCAAGTCATGACATTCTATATTTGTATATGGTATCTTAAAAAGCCATCGAGCTTACGGAACGTCGGTGATTGTACTCAAGGGCTGTTGTGCATGAAATAATGTACATAGGGGCGTCTAAAGCCTGCCTCCATCTGTTGGAAAGTCGTCATATGACCTATACTGTGTTGGTGGGACGTTTTATCCAATAAAAAAGACAAAAATACTGCACGCTTGACATGCCGATGTGTGCTTGTAGCGACAATTTTCATTGGATGATTATGAGGTATATATCATTAAGTATAATATCGTTGGACTTTTTATATATAAATTTGATGTTTTTTAATCAAAGAAAGAAACTTTGCAGTGCGATAAATCGTCATAAACACCTGTTTTTCGACAATAACCTTACAACTGTACTTGGTCATATAACCTGTCAAAATCTTTATAACTAACTATTATTTTATAAGTCCTATGGACATTTTTGGCATTTATATAACCCCTTACAAGATTTTTACAGGTTATATAATCCACGATAACTGATTTTATTTCAAACCACCTTTTATTAAGGATCCATGCTGTTCGCTTACAAACCCTACAACAAGTAGAGAAACTGATAGCGAACAGCATGGATCCTGATCAGAGTGCGCGGATGCGCAGGCTGGTCTGGATCCATGCTGGTCGCAAACCCATTATGTTGGTTTTGTCGTGACGCGGCTCATATGTCTGTGAGAATGGCATCTTGACATCTAAATTATTAGTTATAGAATATAACCTCTACAGAGAAACATCCTTTAGGTGAGAAAAAGTTTGGTTGCTAATGAGAGGTGGTTTCTTTACAAAGGTTAAGTATACTGTGAAGTTTGACTTTCGAAATATTTGAAAAAAAATTCGTTAAGAGGGAAATGTTGTATAGAGAGGGTCGCTCTACGGAGGTGGTACTGTAATTAGAATATTTTATAAATGTTTTATATTATTCAAACAGGTGATATTGCCATTCTGCTCAACTCGGGGTTAAACATGAGGCGGTCTTTGTGCTACAATTTCATGGCCGCTCTCACTTGCTATGTTGGACTTGTAATTGGTATCCTACTGGGTGAAAACACAAATGCAAACATGTGGATATTCGCGGTTGCTGGTGGAATGTTTGTTTACATAGCCCTTGTCGACATGGTATGGTAGTGGTTTTTACTTATTGCTTTGTTAAAAAGGTCCTTATAACGTTTCAATATAATTTGGTAATGTTTTTGTACTCATTGCATTATTAAAGGCATTTGGAGATTTCGATATCAAAACACAGAAATTGTGCTTCTAATTGTACACACAGCCAAGTCAGACTATAGTACACGGAAAAACACGTAAAGTGACGAATTATGTCGAACATTCACGAGTCTATGAATTAGTAAAACGACATATAAAACAGACCAACACATGCATTTGATTCAAAATTTAGGAGATTTTTCGCCTTAGATTTTAGAACATTCTTGTACGACATTGCACAGGTACAGTGCGAATGTCACTACGACCCAAATAGATGATTTTACAGAGCACCTGTTTTTACAGAGCACCTGTTTTTACAAAGTAAATGAACTTATAACTTTATTTGTAATACATTGTCGCAAGATAATGTATAATATTTTCCTTTTCTTATAAGCTCATATAAAACTGTTAAACAATATTCAGCGAAAAAGTAATTTTCTTGACGTCATTTCTTTACTGGCGTCATATTCGATGTCATTTAAAGAGTCAACATTCTAAAACACCATTATTCCCGTGCATGTATCGTATATTAAGCTCTTTGTTTGATAAGGAAATAGTTTGAAATGAGCACCACGAAATTAATAAATAGAATATTCAATGGAAGCGTGATGCTAGTTTTTGCTGTACGTTGGCTTAACAATATATTTTTTTCAATGAACGAATTAAATATGTTTTGTTAGTACACTTAAATAAGCTTACACGTGACAATGCATAAGCAATGAGAAATAGACCAGGCCATGAAAGTACGTTAATTTAATGTACCACCATAGACATTGAAAAAATGTTGACGTCAAAAGGTTCTTAAGGAACTAAAACCATTTTAATGACCAATATTACAAGAACTAGGTAGCTATTTTATATTTATTTGTCACCTTTGTGTTGATAAAGCTGACCTTATTTAAAGTATTGTTTCACTGTCTCTATCAAACATTGCCAAAGTCCAAAAATGAAGTTTTGATGACACAATAAAATTATGACGTGACCTAGTATGCTAAGTCTCTGAACTAAAGTTATTTTTGAAGCAATACAAATAGGTATTCATGGTATTTGTTAAAAATAAATAAATAAATAAACAAATAGTAAATAAATGAATAAATAAATAAATAAATAAATAAATAAATAAATAAATAAATAAATTAATTAATTAATTAATTAATTAATAAATTAATACATAAATAATAAACTAAGTTAATAAATAAATAAAATAATAGAATAGATAAATAATAAAATAAAATAAATAAATACATAAATAATAAAATAAAACAAATAAAATAAATAAATACATAAATAATAAAATAAATAAATAAGTAAGTAAATAAATAAATAGTTAATAAAAAATAAATAAATAAATTAGTTAAGCAGTAAATCAGTTTTAATGATGGGCATTTATTGGCAATTCAACATCGCTTCTGAGTCTTGCTGCTTAAAACCGCAAGCCTTCTGACACGAACAAACATGCTATGAACACTGCTATTACGGATTACATATTCATATTAAAAAATATAAACGAAAATAAAAAAAAGTCCCTTTCCATTTTTACATGCCTTTTAATAGAAAGAGAGAGATGCAAGTATGTAAAACTACATATAGTTTGGAGCAGAAGAAGTATTATTCATGACGTCATTTGGTATATTGCCGTCACAGTTGACGTCCTCGCTGCTCCCGAGGAATTTCCTCTTTTCAGAATTTTTGTGTAAAAAAGCGACTCGCGACGGATATTTTGTACTTATTTCTAAAGTATCTTCTTTTATTTAAAGGTTCCGGAAATGAGCGAGCAAATCCGACAAGTGGAAGAGCAAAATGAAAACCAAAAGTTTTCAGCGTTCCTTATACAGAATATAGGTCTGTTAACAGGCTTCGTGATAATAATGATGCTGGTGATGTACGGAGGAAATATAGAAGTCTAACTCCCGTTGAACGTCGACCAAAAGCAAGCATTAGCAAAGAAGCTTTATGCTTAAAACATAGTTGTTGTTTTAATTGTTGTTGTTGTTGTTGTTTTGTTACGTTGTTAAATTCCTTTCAATAAATTCAGTAACATAGTTATGTAAACATAAAAATTCATGAAAGGAATATTGGTGACCGATTTTGAATGCGAAAGCACGGTCATTTTAATAGTATGCTCGGGTTAACCTAGATACTAATGGGAAAAAACCCACACTTTCCTAGATAGAAAAGTTAATTATATGATCGATGTAATCAGATATTTTTATGTTTTATTTGACAGATATCTCAAGGTTTGCAAAAACCGGAGATAATAGTTAACTTAAAAACATGTTTCATTTTTTTCAGATTTTAGAATAAATTGTTATGCAGTTTATTTAGTCTTTTCGATTAAATATGGAATATTTCGGATTTTACGCACGAGGAACGTTAATATTTTCGAACGATATTTTAAATATGAAGATCGAAACCTTAGCTTACTGTAGGACCATGTTAAGCATCTCATGGTTTGAAATACAAATGAAACTCAGTATATATATTTTTGCTTGTTTGCTTTGTTATTTTTTTTTTGCGTGAAAGATAAACGAATTTAGCACAGAATTTGAGTTATCGTCATTTAAAGATCCTGTAACACATTTTTTATGGTTTTATATCATAAGTATAATGATCAACGGAAGATTAAATTAAGATTTATTAATATTGTAAGTTCCAAAAAGCATTATTTGTAAAGATATTACCGAATTTACAGTTTCATGTTAATAAAGGGAGGTAATAAGAAGTTTATTTTCGATAAAGTCTAAATCAAATTTTTCAATAAGAAATGAATGCATATATTTTAATGATTTATAATGTGAACAAATATTTGCAGTACATATTTAACATTTTTTCGATGTTTGAGATTTGTTTGAGAAGCATAATTATATACATATATAAAATTTCACTTAAGTGTGGTAACAACATTAATTACAACATACAGGATCTTTAAAGAAAAGATTTTGAATACTTGTAACAACCAATTACAAAGACTTTCGCAAAGAAAATGCTATGCCAGCTTATATTAGGTCCTACCTAAAGAAATACTAAACCATGCTAGATTCTGTTTCTTAGGTAACACTGAAGATCTTCAACAATAGAATTTCAATCTACGTATATAACATATTTCTTATACATTCTAAGTAGATAGATAAATAAAAAGAAATAAAAATATTTGAAAATATAGCATACATTAATAAGAGCACTTGAAACGGAAAAGAATACGAAATAGACAGTGAAGAAAACTTCTAAAAAACCTTAAAAGTCCATATATACTGAACCAAAAAAGAAACTTTCGCAAGGTATGTGCCAGTTGTTCAAGGGTACCACTTAGATGTACACACTTATATACATGTAGTAGCTTGTAAAACTCGTTTTGTTTGCAAAATCGGTCAGCTTGTCCGCGTATAAAAGCCCAATATGTTTATTCAACGTAAACATCGAGTTTCAAAAGGATTGAAAATCTGTACTAACATATCTACATTCAAACTTGGAGAAAGTTTCTTTTTTGTTTCAGTATAGTATATGATGTTTAGCGGATTTGAGTTTATCATTTGAATAGTCTCTAAGATTAAAAAAATCGCAAAAACCTACCTGATACAATTTTCCCTGTTTTATTGAAGCGCGTGAAAAAGACGACTACGCGAAAGCTGCGTAAACAAATGTATTTTGATTTTATATTCATCATTGCAGAGTAACTTATAACAATTATTGCAAAGTAATGATACTTTCAATCTAACTTAAGCTCGGATCTACTTATATCTTCCAGGTAGATCTGATAACCTTCGTATATGTTTCGCCTCCTTTATAATTCGGTCTTCCCGGGAAAGCTATTTTTAGCCATGCAACCAAATCGGTTTTTATTTGTTTGGGTCGTCAATGGTAGCGAAATTTCAGACCCTGATGTTCTTATTTGCAAATACCTAAAGTAGTCCAAACTCCTCGAAGCAGTTTCTTCCCTTCATATGTACATTAACGCCGAAAAATTAAGGGGAGATCACTGCGTAAAGATTGTCAAATGACAGGCGCTTTAATTTTCGTAACGAAAAAAAGTTCTCGATTGGTCGAAGATTTTCTAATATTGTGTTATTCTTATAGATATACATGCTTATATTCAGCTCCATGATTATTTACTTCAGTGTTAAACAACAGGTTTACCGTGAACAAAATATATCGAAATTAATAAGGGTTACAAACTCTAATTAAGAATAATATGGTATTCTTCAGGCTGTTATCTTATAGGTCCCCGTGGTCGAGGGGTTTACACGCTCGCTTTAGAAGCGAGAGATCCGGAGTTTAAAACCCAGTTCAGGCAACTCACGTTGTTTGTTTGTTTTTAATTGTTTAAGCCAAATAAACATTAAATTAAATATCAGTGTTGCAATTAGTCTTATAGCCAATTTACTATAGTTATAACACTGGAAACAGAATTCGGTGACACTTTACAAACAAATTGTTTTATAATCTCACAACCTTCACCTTTATGACATTCTGAGACCCAAACAAATTCAGCGCCTTCTGTGCTTTGATTATAAGGATAAGATAAAGTATCAAAATACCGTTATCCGTGGAAGTTGAACAAATTGTTGATTTTTGTTTTGAAGTTATTTTCAACAAATTAGATCTAATCAAGTTTTAATGAGCAAGATTGTTTTGCCAGTTTACTTGTCGACCATATGGACAACGCCATGTCTGTTCTCTTAGCTACTCAGTATTGGTTTTCAAAGGGTTAAAATAAGAAATCGCATTGCTTACAAAATAATGAAAGCTCGTCAATGATTGGTTGTTTGAAAGACCACGAGTCGCTGACTACCTATGGGTGCATGTCAGATCCTAATGCGTAGCGTTATTTAGGAGCTGTTTTTAATCAGATTGTGATTTAAATCGAGAAATATGCCATAAAGAACAAAACACAACATTTTTTGATGCGCACGCGTAATTAACAGACTACGATGTATGGTCATTGAATATGAGTCTCAATCTATTTTTATATAAGGGAAAGTCCAATTCAGTCAATGGATAAAATACTATACCAAGTGAATATGATTTTATAATCCGTTCTGTTGACTACAGATATATTTAGATCATAAAACAAAAGCGTTTATCAGGTTTTCATTGTAAAAGAAAGACAGAAATAAGAAGAAAAAAAGTATGAGCAAGTCGAATGGTAAAACAATCTCGAGGAATGTTTTCCAGCCCCCTCATATCAAACATTTATAGTAGAATCTCTTTAATTCTCAATAAAGTGGACAACAAAGCAGAAAATATACAATTCTTATTTCACCACGTTTTCTGCACATAGTTTTAATGATTTGTCATTTAAAAGGCTGCCGTGGTTATTTTGGTGACTCTAATACAGATACTCAGTTTTTCTTTCTCATACGATACGTTTAGAAGCCATCAACTTATGTGGATGTGATTTAAATCGTTATGATGTACACGTTTCTCATATTTGAATTAAAGTTACTGCAAAAGCGACCCATGTAGACAATTTTCTGGTCAAATGAGTACAAACAAAATCAACAAAAATATATAGCACATTATCCTTGTAATTATAACAGAAAAAAGTAACTGTGAGTGTTTCAATATGCATGTAAGATCGTCCTTTAGCAGAATCTCCTTCGGGGATTCCCCAGAAAGTACAAATATTGAGAATGATAACCGCTTAAATATAGAAAGAAGGACAACAAAATGGCGCCCGTTTCCTTGGCGCTATACTACTACCGCAAACCGACATATCCCTGATGTTAGCCAAGACGTTAAAAGTTTACAAAGTATAAATATATCTAAAATTATATAAGTTTAATATCTTTATTGTGTTTTTGACAAAATTCACTGAATACGAAAGCCTTGGTGTTGGATGTTCCGGATCATGTATCCCTGGAAAAGAGATGAAAAGACGAGTTATGAGTTATTGCTAACCAAACCTCCGAGCAGTAATTCTATTCTACCATTTTCATTATTTTCTATTACAACCGGTCTCTTTTCTTTTTATTTCATAATGTATTGTCAGTCACTGAGCCATGGCCAATGGAAAGGCCTTAAAACTAAAAAATGTCAGTTTTGTTATTTTGCGTAACAATGTTTTATAAGTTGAGATTTTATAATCATGCATTTTTTTAAGTTCGATAAATGTTCAATAACTATATATACTTGCCTTATCATACCGTTACAGCTATTATGGTATAATTTATATTTGTGAGATAACTCTATTTTGATTTACCATATCAATGCAGACGTTGGCATTTACAATGACCATCTATGCAATGTCTATCCCTCTCTCTACAGTGATTTCCAAACCAATAATCATTGCATTCACTTAAACTGGAACAGACTGAAAGAACAACAACAACATTGTTGTAAATTAATCATAACATTTACGTCTGGCTCATATTTTTTCTAAAAGCAATCCGTTGACAAATTTCAATTGTCCTGTTTCATTTCATTGCATTGTGGACATTACCGAGTGTTCATGGCCTTTTAACACAAATAATTGTCTTATCTTGTCGATCGCAAGTTCAAATTTTAAGGTAACCTTTTATCTTATACATATATCTTATCTTATTCCTACCAGATGCACTTATTTAAGACACATTGTACGTTATAAATGAATACGATTATTCCTCTGAAGGAAAGGAAACCATGTGTTTGTAATAACTATGATGCATTAACCCTTTACTTCATATAGACGTGTTTTGACGGCTTTTCGACCCTCTCCCCTTTTTGAGACCTCAAACAGTGGAGAAATGCTCTATTTAGGCCCCAAACACTGTTTTTCGTTTGAGAGATTTTGGTAAAAAAGTAACCACTTTTTCGGCGCCGATCCCCATCAAAAAGGTACATCAGGGGGTTGCCAGAAGGGGGATGTGCGCCCTTCTGTTTCGTGAGTTTGAAGGGGGCGGCAGCATCATCGCCAAGAAAATTTTGGACATGTGACAGGCTAAAAAAGGTCTCAGGTCGATTGTACGGTAACGTTTAACCAACGCTGAAAAGCCTCTAACTCTATCTCAATCTATTGAGAAGTTGCAGCACTTTGAAATCAGTTTTGATGAAAAAAAAAACACAATGCAAAATAGTGATTTTTAGCAATTTTGAGACGTCCCCCGTTGCCAATGTTACAGGAAATTTAAGATTGAGCATGGTGTTACAGAGGCTATGTTTCAATCAACATGTATGCCAAGTTTCATCAGTATTAAGCATTTAGGGCGAATATTTCGATCCGGACTGCAACACATGACAGATATTTTCAATCTAACATTTAAGCAATAAAAGGTATGAACGACTTATTTTCTAGTTATTATTGACATTACGGAAGAAGACTTGTTTTAGGTTGAAAGCTGTAGATTGTCACTTACTAGTTTCTTATTTCTTTTAATTTTAGACCTGTCTGAAAGAGAGATCAAAGCATCCAGCTTTTTAAATAAGGAAATCCATTAAATATCGACAATGTTAAACCAGTCTCTACGCGGGCTGCATTTTTACTGTAGCTGTTCAAATTCTTGTTGTTGCTTTTTCCCCATAAAATGTGCATCCTTTCCATACAACGAAGGCATTCTCTAATATTGCATACATGTACGAAATGTAAAATTATTATTGTTCGAATCGCTTAGTTTAAAGAGATTTCGCTCGGCACTTGTAATTATAAACCAAAACAATATAACTTAAGTTTTTAAGAAGAACGACTAGGGATGCAATTGTTACTTCTAAGCTAGAGTCACAAATATAAAAAAAGATCAAAATATAAAATACTAAATCGCCACTCTTGACTATATAATCGCCACTCTAGATTTTATGATAACAACATTTAATCACTACTATCAATATACCTGATGGATCCTGAGCTGGGTTACACGTGCAAATATTTGTGTCACATGTTGGTGTAAATCCGGCAGCACACGTGACATGTCCGCATGTTGTGGTGTCCGTACTGACACAGTCTTCTGCCGCAGCGATACCTAAATATGTAAACAAGTTTTGTTGAAGATATACTGTGCTCA